TGTGCAGAATAAAATAGGATAGGTGGTGAAAATGATAATCAGATCTTGATGAAGACGGCGGTATATGATTTTTATTTTTTAATTTATTTTTCCACTTCAACTTTTTGGGGCCCAATGCGTTGTGTTATGTGCAAAATGGAGTCAGTGTACATGGGTAGTGCAAAGTGGATATGTAGGTCCCTCACATTCAAAAAAGAAAATGGGAGAAACTCTGAGGACTAACAAAACGGCGGAATGATCAAGTCTTTCTAGACCCCCGGTTGACCCGGGTTGACGGGTTTGAACTTACAGCAGTCCATGTGGGCTGAAGTGGGCTGGTTGATGTGCTTTGTTTGGATGTATACTTTGGTCCCGTATGCAAGCTGTATTTAGTCGTATGGGACGGAGTACGGAAGGACGTGTACTAACCAGGTTGCGTTTAGTTTCGTGATCCAGTTAGTCAGAAGGGGCAACAAGAGTGTTGATTGGCTATCGGTGGAATTAGCGGTGGTGTTAAGGGACCCAGTGCGTGGAGGTTTCGGAGACAGTCTGTTCGCTTGTTCCCCCTCCGTGAGTCCCGCCCGGAAGCCCCTCTTTTCCTGGCCAGTGCCTCTGCTCCCACTTTCCTTGTTGTTGTGCTTTCTCGCCGCCCAAATCGCCAACACCGACACTGGACACGACCGCCTCACTGTCGCGATTCAGCGATCGCCCCAAATCTGCCATCGGCTTGTGCCCACGTCCTGGCGCGACTTTTCTCACACTCGCTTCTCAATACCCACCCCCTCGCTCCCCTTCCCCTTCAACCAGAACTTCCCTAAACTCACTTTCTCCTCATCCATCCATATTTCCCCCTCCTCTTCTTCTTTTCTTCTCTTTTTTCCTTACCACTTTCCCTCTTCTCTCCTCTTCCACCCTCCCCCCCCCTCTTTTCCTCTTCTTTTCTTTTCTACATACACTTACGACCAACCTGTTTATTATTTGCGATTCCTTTGATTCCGTTTTCCCCTCCTGGCTTGTAAGCCACGGCTTCGTTTTCCTCCCCCTCGGTCCGCCTGTGGCTGGACCCCCTTCCGATATCATCGTGTGCTTCAGTGTTTTCCCCGCCCAAGGATGATCAGACAACTCACAGACTTCTTGTCATTATCTCGCTTTCAGAACAGGTGTGAAGTCACAAAAGGGACGATATCGCAATCTTCCGAACAATCGTTTTGCTGAGAAGATCTGTGGTCGCCTTTCGCTGCACCGTCTCTAAGAAATGGCTCCATCCGCATCGAACACGGCCAGCAACTCGCCGGCCAAGAAGACATCCGCACCAGAGAAGAAATACAAGTGCCAATTTTGCAATCGCGCTTTTAGCAGAAGTGAACATCGCAGCAGACATGAACGTTCCCGTAAGTCACACCTACTCTTATATCCTCACAGCCAGGCCTTCTACATGGTTGATACCATGCGGGGCTTGGTCGCGTTTGTAATATGGCTTCCGGACGCGATTTTCAGTTTTCAATCGTGAAGAAATGGTATTATTGGAGCACGGACGATGCTGACGTGTTGCTCGAACAGACACAAAAGAGAGGCCCTTCAAGTGCCTAAAATGTCGGAGTACCTTTGTTCGCCGAGATCTCCTTCTTCGCCATGACCGTACTGTTCACGCCAAGGATGGTGGGATTCCACTTGTTTCCGAGGGCCGCCGACGTGGCGGCGCAGGTGTTCAGAAGTCCTCCCCTGCACCTGCTCCCCCCAAGCCTTCAATTACAATTGACCCTGCTACGTTGGAACAAATTGAGGCAAGCAGTGACGGTATGGTCGACCTTGAAACTGCAGCCATGTTGATGACAGATTTCCAACATAAGGCCGCAGCCGCAGCTACCAGTCAGGTTAATGATCGTGCTGAATCGGATCGCTCTTTCTCCCCCGGACGCGGTCCGCTACTAGAACCCTCTGTATCCTATTTGTCGGGCAACGCGACGTTGCCCCAAATGCCTTGGGACACCCTGGTCTCTCCCGTTGACACGAAACACTTTATGACCCAAGACAATGGCCCAGACTCGCATACACTATCGTCGAGCATGGCGCGGCATGGGCCGGTTGGTGATGCGCTTGCTCCTTCGCTTCACTCGCTTGTCAACTCGTTACCGGTGTCTGGAAACTCTACTCCAAACGCCTTGTCACCATATCCCTCGATGACAGGGCCTGTTAGCCCGGTGAACTACCGGAAGTCTCCTGGACCCAGCCAAGCCCTGACACTCCCCAAGGCTCCTCAGATCGCAAATGAAATTGAGCGGAATATGATCGTAGAACGTATCAGGAATGCCGACGCGCTTGGATCGCTTCCCGATAGTTTCCAGCTTCCATCGACGGCAGCCTTGAACAAGTATCTGTCGACGTATTTCAATTTGTATCACCATCATTTGCCCTTCCTGCATCAGGAGTCTTTCAAGCCTACGAACACCTCGCCTCCGCTGTTGCTAGCCGTACTATCTATTGGCGCCCTGTACACATTTGAGCGTCAGCACGCATTCATGCTCCATGTTGGTTCAAAGATGTTGGTTACGCAGTTTCTGCAACACAAGGACAACTTCGATTCGAGAAAGTGCCCGTTGTGGGCTATGCAAAGCAGCCTGCTAAATATGATCTTTGAGAGTTGGAGCGGCGACCCGAAAGGTCTTGAATGGACATGTTCCATCAAGAGCTTGCTCGCCAACATGGTTGCTGGTAACCGGTATCAACTGAAGCTTCGTACTGAGGCTCGCGAGGGCGCCAAGCCCACCCGGGAAGAGTGGATTGAAGACGAGTCATGCCGTCGTACCTACTACGCGGTCTACATCTTTTTTGGCATGCTCACGCTGACCTTCAACCACACTCCCGCAATGAGCTTCGACGAATTCGATAATTTAGAGCTTCCATCGTCAGAATCGCTGTGGAACCTTGATGTCACGGATGATGAGGCATGGCGCCGTAGCCTGGCTTCGACCACTACCCTCACAGTGCGGGAAGCCCACGACTGCCTCTTCCAAGGCGAACAAGTTCGGTACAGTGCTTTTGCGACTCGTGTCTTGATCAACGCTCTATTCTTACAGGTTTGGAACCACAAACGGAGCTTCGAGGCTCTCCAAGACGTTGTGACTGAATATAAGCTCCGTCTCGCACTCGAAACATGGGAGAATTCTCTTGAGGTTTGTGAGCCAGAGACGATCGTGGTGCCGCTCAGCACTCCTCAGAAAGGTCATCCATTAATCTTCAACTCTATGGCTGTTTACCGCAACACGCGCGCTCGGTTGGAGGTTGACCTTAAGTCGATCCAGGAGGCCTTGCGGTACCACTCGTCTTATGAAGTGGCCGCTGCTATGACAGTTGCTCGTGAAAAGGTGAAGCGTTCCCAGGAGATGAACAAGGTCATCCAGTCCTGCTTCGAATGCATCGAGATTGCTGCCGTCCAGGGGATTAACTGGGTTGCGAAGACATCTGCCACCAACTGGAGTGTCGAGCATCCGCTCTGTGGCTTGGACCTGATGGTCATCTTGAGTCTCTGGCTCTATCGCCTGGAACATGACGAGGAGCCCGCGACTGAGGCTGAGATGGCCATCTACAACAAAGTCCGGAATCTGTTCGATGATGACGCCGTCGATGCCTTTGGTAAACTCAGCTCCACTGTGGCCCGTGTATGGGGTAACATCCTAGACGGAGTGGTAGTATGGGGGTAAGTTTGAACCCGTTCAGCATGCAATATCAAAGCTAAGTTACTGACAACGTCTCAGAATCACCAAGCTCATGGGCGAATCGTTTAAACTTCACTCGCAGGCCTTGGTCGGCTACGAAGACTCGTTGCGCGTCGCCAAGGACCAACCTATTCACCCAATGCCAACGAAGACACTTGCTAGTGTGGGCACGGCGTACTAGGCTATGAGTACGTCGGCTTCGAAATTCACACTATCGTTGACCTTTTTTTGATCGCCGTTATGCTCTTTTTGGCCCTCGGAGCTGGGTTTCACTCTTGATGCCCTCACTCTGACTCGGGTCCCATTCATCAATGCACGTTTTCACTTTTTCTTCCTCTCGTTTCCTGGGCATTTGGACACTGGCGGAATCTCGGATTTTTAGGGTCGGGATGGAGGTGCAAGAACCTGGGCGGCGAAGTTTGATTTCCGGTTATGGAATGCTATGATCTGAACCGCCGCATAATGCTTCTTGCTGGTGTCTCCTGACTGACGTTTGTTCATTGTTAATCATTTCGTTACGTCTTTGCGTTGTTTATGGTCATTCCTGTTGGTTTTTGCAAGAGCTCACAGGAGTCCGGTGTGGTCATTTTTTTGTTTTTACGGGCAGTTTCCCAAGGCAACATCTCGACACCCGGCTGGTCCTGTGTGTTCTTCACTTTAGCACTCGGTGGAGTTGTTGTTTTCTTGATACTCATCATTACACTCTTAATCCTTAGTGCTTCTCTTCTACGCATCAGCGTGTTTGGTCAATTTGCCAGTCGATTTGTCCCCTCATCATTTGATACCTTGTCCGTTATATATTCATCTTACCACTTTAAAGTTTCTCTTCGAGTCACTCGTTTTCATATACTTTGGTTTACTATTTTTACCTCCTTTTGAGCTTTTGCCTTAATGTATGTGAGTTAGATTCGTTCTGAGTTTATGTGTTTATGCCGTCCCCGCCGTTAATGCTTGCGTTTTATCTCACCCCCCTCATATTTTTTGACGTGTTCTGTTTGACGCAACTGTTTTGCATGCTTTGATATTCCGTTCTTGAAGATTGTTCATTGCTTATCTTTATATTTACAGTGTTTATTTCGTACTATTTTTTGTTGGCTTGCACATGGTTTTGCGTTGTAGTACCCTGTACTATAAGTAATTCTAGCACAAAATACAATTTGTTTGAGCGGGGAGTCGAATTGCTATTACACAGTAAACAGTAGCAGTAGGATTATTTCACGGTAGCATCTATTTTATCATTAACTAATAATAGTTCTTTATCTTCCTATACATCTCTAAAACGCTACAGAATACACACGGCTAACATCACTTACAAACGGGCTCTACGAACCCCCTCGTCCACCTCAAGGAACCCGTAATAATTACAAAAAATCCCAGCGCAACCCCAATACTAATAATTCCGTAGAAATAGGCATGTCGTCGCCGACTCAGCCCATTCAATTCAGCCACCCACGTACTAATTGTAGTTGCTGAACCGCAGAACCCATCCATAACACCAGCAAGCACCTGGCAGCTCGTGAGTATCGACGAACTAGCCCCAGAGCCAAGCGAGGAGGCCCCGATGCCATCAACATGCTGCAAGTCATAGCACATGGCAAGGATGATAGTTCCGAAGATGTTCACGGCGAACGTACCTAGCGGGAAGGAGGGGAGTCGGGCATTCAACACGAGAGAAACATAGTAACGCAGAAAGCAGCCGAGCGGTGCGAAAACGACAGCGAACACTGCGCGACCACGCCAGAACTCTGGTCCATTGTCATGGCGATCCGGAGGCCAGATTGCGAGGAAGACGGCCCCCAGCCAGCACCCCCAGCCGAGGATGATGAAGAGGGGGTCTATGAATCGGCGCGTGAAGCGGAAGGGGAAGGAGGGGGTTACGGGATCGAGCGCGAGCGCGAGATGGGCACCAAAGATGAGCGCGCTGAGACTGAGCGCGACTGTGGTCAGGATGACAGCTACCAGGGCCATGAAGCTGTATCCGCCATTGGGGGCTGAGGGGTCCGACAGGTCGTTGGATAGCGCGAGGAAGATGTCACGGATGAAGCTCGAGAAGGAGGTGAAGCAGCCGCAGAAGCCGGTTGTTAGGCCGATGTATAATGGGATTGTCTTTTTAACAGACTTGTGACGTTTCGATTCGGCGCTCGGGTCGGTTCCCGTGGTATTGTTGTTGTTTGGGTTCACACTACCCCATTCTTCGCGGAAGAGGTTCTTGTCCTCGAGGAAGAAGCCCATTAGTAGCGATCCTCCTACGTTGGCCCAGAGGACGCCTGTTCCCACGGGCGCTCCCGGGTAGATGGTCAGGGCTTGGAGACCGAGACGCGCCAAAGTGCCGAAAATGGCGAAGAAGACCAGGTATGAAAGGGTGAAAAGCTGCGTAGCTATTTGGAGACGGGTCTTGCGACAGGTTCCCTTCGTGAGGGCGTTGGTTCAACGGGGCCGTAAGGAGGCTTGTCACTGGTGGGAGGCAGCCCATATCCTTCGGATGACCAGGCTTGGCGCTGCGAAGCTTCCTCGGTGGTGGGAGGTGGCGCTTGGGTTTCAGGCAGCTGTTCGGTGTCGCTGGCAGGCATGGCACGTGTGGATTGCATGGCGAATGACAATGCGCGATATGATTCACATAATTTCTATAACGAAGGATACTGCTGGGAAGGAAAATTAGGAGCTGTGAAAAGTCAGCCAGGGAGGAGTGAAGATTGGACGGAGAGAGTGGGTCATGGTAGTATGTGGAGTCTTAGTGGATAAACAATGGTTTAGTTGTTGATAGACAGCTGATAAGTGATTGTTGATAGCTTATCAGTTCCCGATAAACGACAATGAGAGGGGCTAGAGGTGGAGATAAAGAAAGCAGAAAATCGAAGGGAGAGAAGGAATGACAAGGGAAGGAAGAGAGACTTGGAATTCCAAGCGGAGAAAAAGAAAGGGACGCTGACATCAAGGTACATGTCCATACATACCGTACAGTAAGTACCTGAGCAGGTGACACGACACACCCCGACCCCTCACTTCTGTGATGTGTATATATTTCTTGCTTCTCTCCCCCCTCACAAGCTCCCATTTCATTATCTCTCTCTTTTCTTACGACTTCTAGAACTATACGATATTCCAGAGTACCCCAACCGCGATGTCTCTTCCCCCGAATGTCCATATCTCATCCCACCCGTGCCTACAAGCCAAGATATCCCAGCTACGGTCCCATAAAACCTCCACCCGCGAAACAAGGGACCTTGTTCATGAGATCACGACCATCCTAGGTGTGGAGGCCTTCTCAACAGTATTAAAATCTACAAAGCGGGGAACGGTAAGGATTGATCACCCCTGATCGTATCGGATCGACGAACGTTGATCCACTTTCCAGGATCAAACCCCGTTAGGTATCGAATATGATACCCAAGATATTGAGCCCGCCAATGTCGCCATGGTGCCCATTCTTCGATCTGGACTGGGCATGACCGAGGGTACGTTGTCTGACTCGCCTTGAAGGTCCCAATTCTGACTATTCGCACAACTATGTAGCAATCAACAACCTGCTCCCGGCCCCGGTTCCCATCTACCATCTAGGTCTCTTCCGCGAGAAGTTCACCCTTCAACCTGTCGAATACTACAATAATCTCCCCTACCAACGCCAGGATGGCTCTGACTCCAACACCGCCGCCGCTGACACAGCTATCCTTCTTGACCCCATCGTCGCCACCGGCGCTACGGCCGAAGCGGCGATTCATCTTCTGCGTGAGTGGGGTGTGAAGCGAGTGGTGATGCTGAGTGTACTGGGCTCCGAGACGGGCATTCGTCGAGCTGTAGACTCTTGGCCTGGCGGAGTAGAGTTCTGGACAGGGGCGGTGGACGAAAAATGCAATGAACGAGGCATGATTGTTCCTGGCTTAGGTGATATCGGTGATAGGTTGTTCGTTGCCATTGGGAAGTAAGGTCGGGTAATTATTAATATATTTTATCGTTTCCGACGCAGCAATACAATTTCCTAGATCCAATCATATCCTTCGGAGTACTATGTTGAGTGTCAGGTTTTAATGGAAAATATGTCACATGTAAAGGGAGCTGCGACAAGAAGGGAAGGTGTCACAATGGTCCTTTCTATAAAACTCTTAAAACTCTGATTGATTAATGTAACATACAACTGGGACGGACTATCATCATCAATATATGGAGATATTGCGAAAACAACTTCAAAAAGTAGAAAAAGACAAAAAAAAAACTTGCCCCCGCGCGGGATTGAACCGCGGACCTCATCATGTCAACTTCCAAGGCTTCCAATGGATGCCTCAGGCTACGAGTGATGCGCTCTCCCACTGAGCTACAAGGGCTTGTGATTGGTGCTAATTACTATAGTATGGAACACAATGGCCAGTGGCAAAAGCATGAGCATTTCTTTTGGTTGTAATAAGATTCACAGATGTATTCAACTATCTGTGTGGAGGCTCGAGAAGTCCCAACTTGGCGGAATGACGGCACATACAGTGGGGTGTCTACTTATTGCCTGGCCTAACCGCCTTCCTAATTATATTTACGTAGGAGAGGTTCAAGCACTGGGTTTGGAAAGGTGAAATATGGCGGTATGTAGGGCGGTCAAAAGGACGATTTCAAACTTTTGACATAGTGTGCCGTAGTCCAGTAGAAGTGTTTATAGTCTTTGTCTCACCAATCACAATTCTTTTAGTATGGCGGATTGAACCCATTATCTACGCAGGGCCTGTGAGAGTTAAGCCGTAACAAGATACTCCCAGATGGAAAGAGAAGCAATGACCTCATTGAAGGTGCTGGAGCAAGTTCAAGGACATAATAAAGGAGCATAAGCGCAGACCAAAGCAGGAATACTGCTGAAAGGACCGGTAAATATGTAAACCCGTGGGGTATATATTCTATGTTGCCAAGCGCCACCGTCCTCTTGTTGTCATAAGTGTCTATTCCATCTAGATGGTGTTTAGACGTTGCTGCGAGATCATCAGGAAGTGGCCATTTGAGATCGGCTTGCTGGTGAGACTTATTCGTTTAAAAGTGGTATTCCTCAATTTCCCATAGACGCTGCCTGGAAGGCACAGATAGGAGATCTCTCCATCCCCCAGATCGCATCCATATCTCAACAATCACAACTTCTCTCGACTTGTATCATCTGGGTACCCACCGGTATCCCTACTTTAAGTTCATTTTTTTGATCGCGGTCTCAACTTGTAGTTGTTTCTCATCCCTTTCCCTCGCCCTTCCCTTCTCTCCCTAGAGTTATATTAGCTTGAAAATGTTCTCTTTAAGTAACAAGTACATTCATATGTTGTTCCTGGCCCGTTGGGACCACCTGAGTCTGGCCTTTTTGGATTTTGACAACCTGGAAAATTACGATAAGTATACTATGGTGACTTGTAAACTGACTGAACTGAATTCATTTGGTGTACACAACCAGGGTAGCGACACCAAATTTCGCCCTTATAGATTAACCAATTATCCAACGTAGCCGTTGTATCAACCCTAGGGAAGTTCAATGTATTGGTTTCGCTTGCAATATAAGGACGAATACCTTTGCCAGACCACCCTCTCTTTTCCGCTCGTTTTGCCGACTGGGTATTAGAACCACGCGGAGCTCGAGGTGTCCTCACCGTTAACGTTAAGCGTCTTTTGCTACAGGTTCAGTCGGAGAAGAGCGTTTCCCGGCTGTATTGCAACCGGTTCCTAGAAGTTAGGGGGGGTTCACTGGCTTCTTCAGCACATCTCATGAAATCGAGGATACCCCGAGGTGTGACACCGGCACTAAACCACTGTAAGTGGGAGTCTGCAAAACCGGCACCCACATCCACTGCCTCTCGCGGGTGGACAGGGTCTCCGCTCCTGTCCACAGTGGCAATCCTGGGATCGCGATGGCAGATCCTAATCACCCCGAGGTAGCAGCCCAAGCGGGGCTGGGGCCCGTGGTAGAAGAGCGACGCTGGAAGCTATCTCGGTCAGTACTGTGTTGATAAGATCATACATATTGGTCATTTTGAGTTGTGGGAATTTTAGGGACATGCCCTTCCCTACAGTGGAGAAAGACTTGTATCTCGAGCCAGGATGCGAGATATAGTAGTATGAGACCGGATGTGATGAGGATAGGGTGGCCCTCGCACTTATAAAACACAGCCTCAGCCTGGCCTCTATTGTACCGGGGGTAAAACCGGCTACCTCCAATCGTCTCAACAGACAGAGAAGGACAGACAGCAAATCATCGAGCTCTTCCTCAGCCTGCATGGCGAAGCACTAGCGTTCAGAAAGCTGACCCAGTTCGATGACTGCTAGTTATATTAATATATTCGATTGGGAACAGTATACTAAATACTGCTGTGGGACAGGAGGGCTGCATGTTACCCATACCTCAAAAAATGCTGGAGTGGGGACGAGCAACATGGAGTAAGGGAGGAATGCCATGCCATACCAGGGGTCTTATACCTTCTTATCAGTGGACTTATCTTGTCCAGGATAGAAATGGAAGGTGTATCCATTATGCAGCCTGTATAGTCCCGTTGTGTACGGAGGCTTCTGGCAAATTTCGCGGTTCTCGTCAGCTTGCTTTCCTGCACTTTCTTATTCCATTCCCCCTTGTCCGATGGGACTGTAAGCGGGGTGTCCAGCTATCCGCATTGTTTGCGTTGGAGTGGTATGTTTTTCGCAAGATCTTTGATCTCGTGAAACTGCCACAAAGGTACACATAGCCCTTGGGAGGATGAAGCGCCACTCCCCAATCATGGGTCTTGCAGTAAGATAGTCTTGCAGTAAGACATTTACTTAGTTTAGTTCTTTTCTTGGCTGGCTGGCTGCTGCTGCTCCCGTGCATAGGCAAACTTTTAGAGGATTAGATATAAGGTAGATGGTACATAACAACTGGAAAGCCTACCCCTGCCAAAAACCCTTGGTTGTGATGAAAACCAGGGTAAAAGGCCACTGAATGGCTTGCCCAGCAAGAAATACAGGTATTGGTCGACTATGTAAGACCACCATGTACGCTCCAATCTTCTGTGCTCTTGATGGTTTCTAAATAGTGTTAGCTACATCACTTTCTGGCTAGATGCACGAGAAGGGGAATGAATACTCTAGATGGGCTAAGAGGGTATGTTTCAGCACATGCCCTAACCTTGCCACCCTGTCTTTGGTCCTTGAAGGATTCTGTCTATGACGGGGGCCTTGTTTAGAGTTCTGTTCGACATGGTAATAAAGATACTGCTTTCTAGAGGAGATGTGGAAATATATGTGCAAGTTCCCCCGGTGAAGTCTTCCGCGTTAATCAGTTTCCAGGGTAGGGTTGACCGCTACAGATGGTCTCTCGTCTGTTATAGGGCTATCGATTCTGTAGGATCCTAATATATGAACCATCTGGATAACTTGGGATTCTGATGTTCTGTAGGTTTGATTTATATTGAACGTATGGTTTGAAGGGCAAGATAGCAGGATCAAAGTAAGAAGGTTGGGGGAGTTGAGAAGAGAAAGCGTGGATTAAATCTTGTGAAGATATAGACTGGTTATCGACATGGAATGAGGTAGGTCCTTCATTTGATTGACTTAATTTACAGTAATTCACGTCAGAGCAAAGAATTGTACATATAGTATACACCAGATCCGATGAATCGTTCAAAGATGGGAATTATGACTTAGGAGCAAGTGAACCCATCCAGGTTGTGTCCTGATTTTCACTAGACTGGGCGCCCTTCGCCACCCTAGTTGGACCGGCGGACTCATTCACCAAGTTCATAGTCATCTGCCGCGCCTCCTGAAGTCGTCGCAGAGACTCGGCACGACCAAGAATCACCATAGTTTCAGGTATACCCGGCCCCGGTGCGGAGGCAGACAATGCCCATCGTAGATAGTGGTAGAGTTCCTTCTTGAAGGTTTTGTCGGCAGCGACTCGGGCCTTTTCCGCTTCCTCGGTTGATCCGTAAGCGCCCGCGTCTGATTCTTCAGGGAGAATGGCGTAGGCGCCATCGTAGGAGGTGATGTTGAATTTGTGGGTTTCGATGGTCCAGTGGGCTTCTGGAACAAGGCTGAGGGCTGCAGCTGCTGTGTGGAGGGTGGCCATGGGAACGGCTTGGGGTGGTGACTTGCTGGCGGAGGCAGCCGGAGTATACGGAGGTCTATTAAGAGTAGTAGTGAAGAAGGTAGAGTTGCGCTGGACAAACTCCGATGCATTCGTATAGGATTTGGCGTCTGCACGGAGGAGAGGAGGGAGATACTCCGCTAGCGAGCGAAATTGAAGGATCGGTTCGCTATAGTTTACGGGTCAGACTCAGGTATAATGAAGTTGAGAGGGAAAAGGCCGTACAGTTGTTGCGAAGGACATGTCTCCTCCACAGCCCTAGAAACTTTGGAAACCATCTCTTCAAACTCGCTACCACCGTTCGTAGCAAAGCGCTGTGCGTGTGCCTTCTGCAAGAACCAAAGCTTCTCAAAGGCAACAACGGTGTTACCTTTGGTGATTTTGAGGCTAAACTAAAAACTAAGTCAATACCTGTTGTGTAGTGCATTAAGAACTTAAACAAAGTGCCAGACATACTATTTGCTCCAGCTCCTCAAGGCTGAAGATGTCTGACTTTTGAGTGTGAGACCAGCCTAACAAAGCGGCAAAGTTTACCAGGGTAGCGGCGAACACTCCCTGTGTATCTTTGAAGAAGGTAAGATCAATGTCGGCATTCCGCTTGCTAAGCTTCTGCCCAGACTTGTCCACAAGGAGAGGCACATGGCCGAAGCGAGGCGGCGTCCACTTAAAAGCATTGTATAGAGCGACATGCAGAGGGGTAGAGGGCATCCATTCCTGTAATCAGGGTAGGTTAGAAAGTCACTTCCACTTCAGTCTTTAGAAACTCACAGTGCCTCGAATGACATGGGTAATCTTCATGAGATGATCATCAACCACGTTGGCGAGATGATAGGTCGGGTGTCCGTCCGATTTGATCAAAATGGGGTCGTCGTACACCCGATCAATCAAGTCCAGCTTGTTCGGCGAGCGATTCTGGCCAGTCTTCCCATAGACGATGTCCTCGAACATGGGATATCCCTCCACCTTCAGCCGAACCACATGCGTCTCTCCCTTCGCCGCCCTGTCTTCAGATTCCTCGGCCGATATGTCCGCGCATTTTCTATCGTAACCGGGGGGTAATCCGGCTTGACTGCGATGTCTAGCAAACGCATCGAGTCGATCCGCAGAGCAGAAGCATCGGTATGCGTGTCCATTGTTTATCAGATCATGAGCGTGGGTGCGATAGATGGCTGTTCTCTCGGACTGCAGACAAACAACTTAGTATAACTTTTTTTTTGGGAATCGATCGATAAGCGCATTGGAGAGCCTCACCTGTCTATACGGACCGTAGGGACCACCGACATTAGGACCTATAAACTGCACGTCAACCTCCGAGCAACTTTGTGTTCCCGAACAAATGCCAACCTTCATCCCATTGCAGTCCAGCCCATTGGAGATCCTCATAGAGCCTCTGTTCAGCATCGGGGATAGTGCGTTTCTATATCCATTCGCCTATCAGCCTTCGCGATCGACCGATAATGTGTTCTAACGCCGCACCTGGTCGGTATCTTCAATTCGTAGCAGAAACTGTCCTCCCGTCCGCTTAGCCAACAGATAGTTGAACAATGCCGTCCGCAGGGACCCTAGGTGAAGATATCCGGTTGGCGACGGTGCGAATCGGGTTCTCGCGGGGAAATCAGGCAAATTCGTCTTTTTGTTACCGGCGCGTACAGTCTTGCTTGACGCAACCGAGGAGTAGCGGGCTCTGCTGCACTGGGTGCAGATCCACGGACGACGGGCAAGAAGCCCGGGATGGGGACGCCTCATGGTCGCGAAAGAGGGCCCAATTATGCGGAGATATTCAGGGCAAGAGCGATGGTGAATGGTTGGATGGGGAGGTGTACCTATGAACCATCGGAGGTTTGCGGCGAGACTCCGACTGGGGAAAAAAAGTAAAGTTAGAAAGGCGGACTGAATTTTATTAATTTTATCAGTGTAATCCATTTACCGCTTACAATCAACAAACAACTTCCGGGCTTGCCTTTGCCGTCCTTTATCTTTCTTTAGGAGTCTCTTGAGATACTGTTTTCTCAGAGATATAATTCATTTGTCTTTCACCTTCTGTTTGTGTTCGGTTCAGTCTCATTTTTATCCAACAGTCGGGGACCCTCTCCATAGCCGCTCAAAGTATGTGATCGCCCCCCCCCTAAGCCTTTTATTGCTGGCTTTGCTGACCTACTCCAAACACAGTGTCTCAAGCTGAAGTTGACCTCTATGGTATATACCTTAATTCTACATGCTTGTATCGCGCGAAGGTATCGGGAAAATGGCTAACACTTCCTTTAATTAGAGGTCCTCGGAATTGCCAACAGCGCAAGCAAAGATGAGATCCGCAAGGCTTATCGCAAGGTACTGCACCTTAAATCTGATCACCCTCGATAACTACTCACATACCAAACCAACGATAGGCTGCGCTCGCAAGTCACCCCGACAAAGTCCCCGAGGCCGAACGTGAAGAAGCCGAGATCAAATTCAAGGCCGTCCAGGAAGCTTATGATATCCTCTACGATGAAGACAAGCGTCATCTATATGACACACATGGAATGGGCGCTTTCAACGGGTCTGGAGAGCCCGGTATGGGCGCAGGCCCCGACCTAGATGATATCCTGGCGCAGATGTTTGGTGGTATGGGTGGCATGGGCGGTATGCCTGGAATGGGTGGTATGCCTGGAGGCCCGCGCGCGAATAAACCACGGAGAAGCCCGAATGAGGAACAGAAGTATGAAGTCAAGATGGAAGATCTGTACAAGGGCAAGACTGTCAAGTTTGCGAGTACGAAGAACGTAATCTGCAGTTTGTGTCAGGGCAAGGGAGGCAAGGAGAAAGCGCAGGCCAAAAAGTGTGCTACTTGCGGCGGACAAGGTATGGAAGATAAACGCTTAGTGCAGACGAATATTGGAAGGCTGACAAATGACATGTACAGGTGTCAAGCAGGTCTTGAACCAGATGGGGCAGTTCCTTACCACTTCCACTGTGCCGTGCTCAACCTGCAATGGAGAGGGTGAATTCTTTAGCCCCAAGGACAAGTGTAAGAAGTGTAAAGGAAAGAAGACAACGGAGGAGAGGAAGATTCTGGAGATCTACATTCCTCGGGGAGCAAGGTGAGCTATGCAAACCATTAAAAGGACCAAGTCAGGCGCTAAACTATATGCAGAGAAGGAGATAAAATCATTCTTGAGGGTGAAGCCGATCAAGTACCAGGACAAGAGCCCGGTGATATCGTGTTCCATATCGTGGAAGAAGACCATCCTGTTTTCAGAAGGGCTGGATCAGATTTGACCGCTACCATTGATGTTACAGTGGCTGAAGCCTTGACAGGCTTTTCCCGAGTTGTGGTCAAGCACCTCGACGGCCGGGGTATTGAACTGCAACACCCCAAGAAGCCGGGCGATGTTCTGTCCCCAGGACAGGTCCTTAAGGTTCCTGGAGAGGGTATGCCCATGAAGCGCGGCGACGAACGCGGCGACCTGTACCTGGTCGTCAACGTCAAGTTCCCAGACCAGAACTGGAAGCCTAGTCCTGAGGTCCTGGAGAAGCTCAAGGAGATGCTGCCCAAGCCCGACGCCCCGATTCAGGCTGACACTGTAGACGAAGTCGACTATGATCCCAAGGGTGATCTGGATGAATTCGGTGCCAAGGACGCTCACGGCGGCTCTGCATGGGAAGATGATGATGATGAGGGTGAGCCGGCTCAATGCGCGGCCCAGTAAAGGCCAAATTTCCGTGTCTTCTTGCAATTATACCTTTACCGTTTTGTGCATTCGTCGATGAATAGATCTGTTGGATGCATTTGGGCCAGTTCTTCTCTGGCATCATGGGCGTTCACGGGAAAACACTTGTTATGAACAAAGTGGGGAAAATTATCCGTATTGACTTATGACTGTTGCTTAACCATATTTTCAGGGCGTGAATAATGCATGGTAGTACTAGAATACATAGACGAACTCAGCTTCACGGAATGCCGTCATCCGATGCTTATAAGAGCCCCTAGGCTCCACTTTCTGGAGATGATCAAGTCGCCCCCGTGGGGGGAAAGTGTGGGATGGACCCATGACCAATGACTTTCTTGGTGATTTGTAACCAGCCATCTTTCCTTTTTCTTGTCTATCATTCGTTGCATGAGTATATATTGAAGTCTCATTCAAGAGCAATACAAATATGTCTAGCATTTCTTGCTAAGCGCGAAGAGACTGGATACGATGGGAAGATATGAAAGGACTAGAGTATCTCTGTGAGTGTTGCTCAGACGCCGCGTTAGCCATTATACTATTCTTTACTGACTGATATAGTGGCAATTTATCGGGACTGGCCCATCCTAAGCAGTATCCCGCTGCTCAACATCGGTCTTGTGGAGGGGTTTCATCACGTACGACTAATGACGATGCTCGCTGCCGCTGAAACAGAGCAGTTGAAATCATCGCTCCCTTCTTTGAAACTGCGCCCGAGAGTTGGCTTGGAGTGTACACTAGACTATGAACTCTGGCAGAAAGAAGTACGGATTCTCGCCGGAATCCACTGTGGTATGGCAGCGAGGATGTAGATGTAGGTTTGGTGGTATTCAAGACCCGGCCTGGTCATGCTTGCTTTATTTTGAAAGTGACAGCTCACATGAATATTGCAGACGCTATTTCCAGAGCGCGGCAGAAGATGAGCCAGGATATTTGTGTCTTTGGAGACATTACCGACGGGTGGTATTTTAGATTCATACACATCCCCTCGTGCAACAGCAACGATATAACTAAAACCTACATAAGCCTTTGACTATGGCTGCGCAAGCCGATTTAGTCAGATACCACAAGTGTTAACAAGTCTAGTACCGAGGAAGAGTCTCCTCAATGGGGAACCCGATTCTATGATGCATAGGGCGAAACTCACTGTTATATGGAGAAGGGGAGGGTTAACGCTTTGCGTCGAATTGCTATGGAGAGAATGGTTCCATGAAACTTGGTTCCGTTGTTGATTCTCAAAACGACGCTATGAGGATCTCGCTGTTATACAATTCGATATTGATTGTGTATGGAATAGTTTCGGTCCACCGTAATGACTCGCCAAATCATAGTAACTGGGGTTGCGAGTTGAACATAATATCATGCTAATCTGCGGCCAGGATATATGACTTTGGGAGTAAATTAGAAATTATATCTGGATGGGATCAATAGACACAGCAGATTCGATGCACCCCCATGCATCGATGCTTTATGATACTAGCGTGGGGTAGAAGAGCGATTGATGGGTCTCCATCATTTGCCCCCACAATCGACCAACACGTACCGAGAATTCATCCAGTTTTCTGACCCGAAGAATGGGGATATGATGGGGGGTTTCCTGCGCGGTTCTTATTTAAATGGTCTTGCATTCCCACCGCCCGATCTCCCGTCATCTCTTGCAACCCTGGTTTCGGCATTAATACGGCTGTGGATGTCGGAGATTGTCCGGATTATTCGGCATTGATAGTGTCCCGCATTTGATGTGATACCAGACAGGGTTATTTAATCTCACAACAGCTCGTCTTTCTCCAGCTTATTTTTACCATCCGTAAGAGCAAAAATAATTAGACAAAGGTAATCACACGAGAAGATATATAGCCATGCTGAGATTCCAGTAAAGAGAATCGCAGAACGAAAGTGGCTAATGGCCTTCTAGCCCGCGATCTAGTGCCGACGGCTTATAAATAATATACGATCGAGTGTCTCGAATTATCCCAGATTTTCTCCCGACCATGTCATGTCAGTCACGCGCCTCGTGTGAGGGCTGCTCCTGCAGTGACAGGGGCAGCCGACCACCAGTGAACATTGAGGACTGTGAGAGCGAACTGCTTGCCCTTCGGAGGCGTACAGTGGAGCTTGAGAAAACTCTGGCATCAATGCAAGATGGCCGGCCAAATGCTAATGCATCAAGGGCCCGGAAGTTACGGTCGGCCAACTGGTTCAATTGTGAGAGTGACCCGGGCATGATGGCCCTCTACATTGAGCGGTACCTCAACTATGGCATCACCCGGGAAGAACTGATGTCCGGTAAACCAATAATCGGAATAGCACAGTCCGGGTCCGACTTGTCTCCATGCAACCGCCATCACCTCGAGTTGGTGAAACGGGTCCGAGAAGGCATTAGGTCCGCCGGAGGTATCGCCTTTGAGTTTCCCACGCATCCTATTCAGGAGAGTAGCAGGAGACCCACTGCCTGTATCGACCGAAATCTGTCGTATCTGGGTCTGGTAGAGATTCTCTTCGGATATCCCTTGGACGGTGTAGTCCTCCTGACGGGCTGCGACAAGACTACTCCCGCCGCTTTGATGGCCGCAGCTACAGTGGTGCGTGGCCCCTGTATCTCCGCTCCCTTGCTCAAATAATTGACGTTTGTTCGAAGAATATCCCAGCAATATGCTTGAATGTTGGCCCAATGCTTAACGGTTACGTGAAGAATGACCTGGCGGGGTCTGGGATGGTAGTATGGAAGGGCAGAGAGATGTATGCGGCAGGTGAAATCAACAAGGAGGAGTTCATTGACTATGTGTCCAGAGGGTATGTCCATCGATAACTATGAAAGTATATTCACTGACGATGTAATAGTGCACCATCAGTGGGACATTGTAACACAATGGGAACAGCATCAACTATGAATGCTTTGGCGGAAGCGCTTGGAATGGCCCTACCTGGGTCGGCTGCCATACCGGCTCCGTACCGTGAACGTGGGCAATGTGCTTACGAAACAGGTTTGCGTATTGTTGAAATGGTTCATTCTGATCGGAAACCCAGCGACATTATGACTCGGGAGGCTTTCGAAAATGTCATTGTAGTTAATACTGCTATCGGCGGCAGTACTAATGCCCCCATTCATATCAACGCCATCGCCAAACATATTGGGGTAGAAGTTTCACTGGATGACTGGGACCAACTCGGATTTCATATCCCACTGCTGCTGAACATGCAACCAGCTGGTGAGCTGCTGGGAGAGGAATACTATCGAGCGGGTGGGCTACCCGCGATTATGGCGGAGTTGCTAGATGCCAGGAAGCTGAATGCGGATGCTTTAACATGTAACGGTTTGACAGTATCCGAGAATGTCCGGGGCAAACATACCTGGGACCGTCAAATGATCAAGCCGTATAACGAGCCACTTCTGGAAGATGCCGGTTTTCTCCATCTCCGAGGCAGTCTGTTCCGATCCGCTATTATGAAAACGTGTGTGATATCGGAGCCTTTCCGACAGAAGTTCTTGGAAAATCCCAAGGACCCAAATGCATTCGAAGGCACGGTTGTAGTGTTTGATGGACCGGAGGATTATCATCACCGGCTTGAAGACCCTTCCACTCCCATCGACGACAGAAGTATCCTGGTGATGCGTGGTGCTGGCCCATTGGGATACCCAGGTGCCGCCGAGGTTGTCAACATGCACCCACCTGGTCGGCTTTTGCGACAAGGGGTCAAATCGCTTCCGTGCATTGGAGACGGACGACAATCGGGTACTTCCGGCTCGCCGTCCATTCTCAATGCTAGTCCCGAGGCAGCAGCGGGTGGAAATTTAGCCCTCCTTAAGGATGGGGACAGACTCCGTGTTGATCTTAACAAACGGCGCGTTGATATCCTTGTTTCCACGGAGGAGCTGGAAAAGCGGAGAAAGGCGCTAGAAGCCAGGGGGGTTATGATATCCCAGAAAGTCAAACTCCATGGCAGGAACTGTTCAGGAGGGAGACGACACAGTTGAGCGATGGTATGGTCCTCCGAGACGCGGTAAAATACCAACGACTTGCTCAGCGATATGAGAACCCCCGACATAATCATTGAAGGATTAGTCTAGATACCATCGATGTAAAGAGCTGTAATTATTTGAAATACCCATCGCAAGGACTTTTGGCAATTTTTCGGCTGTTCCGGAGGTGTGTTCTCCGTATAGAATTCCATTATTCGGTCGGGTCTTTCTCGAACCGAACTGATTGTGGCATTGATCATAACTATATTCACGGATAAATTAAACCTTACCCGTACAGTACTGTACAATGATAGTCTGTAGTGGCTGCCCCGATAGACTTAGTAGCGTCAGGCCGTTTAGAAACAGTAATATTTGCCTAGTAACGGTGACACGGACTCAATCTCAGGAGAGAATCGTGCCGGAAGGGAAGGGTTAGAGAAGTCCGACAGGTGAGGTCGGAGAAAGAGAGAGTACTCCAGGCTACCACTACTAGTAGTGTAGTAGTAACTTAAATCGTTGATTGGTGTTCCTATTTAGTAGCCGTACAGAAAGTGCTGATCATGGGATTGGACCCCCTCCCTTCAACTTCCCCTCTTGAAATGCCCTCCTCATGCTCACTAACATTCACTACTACCACCCTTTTCACTTGTCTGTTTATTGACTGACTGGTTTCTGTGAAACCTCCTTAAGTCTATCTGCTGCAGAAACTTCAAACAATAGTGCTGAATCTAGTGGCAGCGCCATCGTACAGTTTTCGGGTAGGCAGACGTCCATGTTTCGCCGGCGCTCTGCAAACTAATTAAGTCTTGGAAAATCAGTCCCACAAGGATGGAGATAGTAGAGCTATTCTGGCCAACGTTCGCAGAATTGCCAAGGCTCTAAGAGCGGTGACTATTTTGCGTTTCCTGCTTTCTCCCAAGTTATGGCCATATCTCGTCACTTCCAACAAATAGCTAATGAAAGGAGATGACTAGGACCAGAATCCTGGCGAGTGAACCGAGCGCCCTGAGTTTGATCTACCAGCCAATCCCACCAATTCAGTGATAGATAACACGCACATGGCTGGGGTTCTTGACCTAACCTGCATCATCTACGAATTCACTCGAGGCCTGCAACAAAGCCGTCCAGAGAATTAAAACAAAGAGAATATCACAACGGAAAATACCCATAAGGAGAGCGAGAAAGAAGGCAAGCAGACAAGAAAAGTTTGATAGCTTACCAATGTGTAAGGCCAAGAACGGGTTTGCTGAAGACGGCGGTGGTCTCGAACCATATCCACCCGGAAACCAAGTCAGAAGGTGGACGCGACATCACCAGTTTCCCGAGCCGATCATGTAATTGTTATCAATATTGTCGACTGCCAAGCCATTGAGTCATGAGATCAAGAGACACAGCTGAGGCGAATGGCGGAGCCTATAACAATTGAAGTAATTGATATTCAACACTCACCACACACACCATGAAAAATTTATAAAAATATCCTCCGAGTGTGGACCGGTGGGTCTCGGGTTACCCGCGCGCAGAGATTTGGGTTTGCCGTTGCAGCCTTGCAAAGAGTGACGGAGAACCACCGATTTCCCACACTACCAAACTTCGGACCCGCGTACTTGCTTAGGGTCTAGCCTGCAATATCAGAAAATTTCTTCTAGTTCCGGCTGATCTCAGACCGCCCCTGTCAGGCACCCACATCCCACCATCATTTTTAAAGCTGTCCCTTGTGATCCTTCCGTCGTGTTCCTTGTTATTTCCTACACAACAAATTCCTTTAACATGCTGCTGCCTCCTATCGTCCACTTAGATGCAAGCCTGCTACCATGCGCTTCCTCTGAGCAATAAGAAACGACAGCCTCTGTGTGCACCGTGCATCTCCCACCGCCGCACCACATAGTCGTGTACCCCGGTCTCTTGCATAATCCTGGACCTATCTGTCTCCTTTCAAAAACACCTGTCTCATCAACCTACCGTCGCAGCTTCCCGAAATCACCCTGTGCAACTCAGCATAGGCCTAGATCATCGCGGGACGCATATATAGTGCACACCGCATCGTTACGTGTCTCGCGGCTCATCTTCCTGTCCTGCGGGAACCATCCAACTGTACCTTTATCAATTATCCCGACCAATTAACGCCACTGCGCTCGAAAGAGCCATAACCGATTTCCAATCGGGACCAACAATCTGTTCACCTTACATTATCCTTTCAACTCGAGTTGTTTTACTTGTGTTTGTCACGATGGACGTCGACTTATAAACCATCCACCTTTTCGTTCTTTCGTGATCGCAACGCTTTCCGTTCTCCCGCAATTAAGCGTTTCAGTTTTGTGCATTTCTCAGCCATCTTGCTTCTCTAAACCTCACCTATCTAGGTGAATCACCTGCCGTACAACATCGTCAATAAGATCTCATCTCGAATCATTATGGCGCCCAACCTTTTCCTCTGCCTCCGAACCGTCTTCTGCCCCACATACTGGTTCCAACGTGGGGAGCGCATCCAGGGGACCATCCATAAAGAAGAACATTGGGAGTCTCCTGTCCCTGGCATCTACAAATACATCCCTGGCCGTGGATGGCACCTTGTTTACAAGGATGGGAATGAGTACGACGAAAAACTTCCTGTCCCAGTCGTTTACTGCCGCATCCTCCACCGATACATGTTCGAGCATGAACTGGAGGACAGATGCCGCTGGCATTCGGTGACCGTCCACGAAGGCGCTAAGCCGGAAAGATTTCTCTTCTTCCGCCTTGATGACGGCGACACCTGGGTTGCCGGATGGGATGCCAAGGGAAAATTCATTCCGGGACCCTATCAAAAATGGTACTACGACTCGGAAACGCAGACTATGCGCCGAGTACTGTTCCCTGATAGCACGAATGTTTCCCGCGCCAGCATTGTCCCAAGCAAGCTGGGCTAATTGCGGCTTCCTCCATAGCCCATCCCGAGGGCTAGCGCCCTGACAGTTTTGGGCCTCTTTACATGGTTTCTCACCATCCGACCATGACGAAATCTGTTCTGCAGCTGGCTCCTGCAGAACATGGCTTGGCAGGCTAAGAAAGGCAATTGCTATTCTTGAATTATTGAAAGCGAGCGTACAAGCGATTCATTATTTTCTGCTTCTGTTATACCTATGAACATGCTTGATGGCTCGACTATTACGATTATTTGCTTTACACAGCGATGGTGTTTGGGTTAGAAAAAAAGTAGTTAGACTTGCTTGTTTCCCTATTGTTTGCGACTTGGGTGGCTACATGCCATCACGATGGATATTGGCCGTGATGATTCTTTCGGTTATTACGTGGTTCAAGAACAACAGACTTGAACAGGAGTTTAATAGTGATTTGATAGACATTGATACAATATGATAGCGGAGCACGATACTGCTCGAATGATAATCATTCCTTGTGTATGTTGAATTTTAGGCGGAACCAACCCTAGAGATACGTATCATCTGCCGCAAGAAGTGGATACCCGTTAGTTGCAGCAGCAATGTTCGATTGGATATGCATGGCACCATCCGTCACTTGCAGATAGGATCCATCTGCAGGCCATGTGATTGGTAAATGCTCGCGGTGTTTTCCATGCAAGGGCTTACCGGGCAAGTACGGCCCGGGCAAGTAGGGCTTATCCCGTCGACAAGATTCGACGTGATATGGAGATGCTCATTCCCGGCATTTGTCGTAGTGGTATAATTAGGAATATTAATTGTATAGCTCTGCCATTTGTTACTTCATCCTATCGGATCACGAATGTATCAATAGTAGAAAAAGAGGTGGCCAAGCTATTTCCACATCAGCCACATAATCTCCAAAAACAGCTGTACGAGATAGCAGCCCAAATCTAAACCCTAAAACAGATCTCACAAGAAAAGTAAAAGAACAGGAAGGGGAAAAGAAGAAAGGAGGCTCTACAATTTTGCCCCCTCCTTCCCACCCCCCTTAACCAGCTTCTCCAATCCCTTCCTCACCCTCTCCTCCATTCCCGCCTTAGTCGGCCTCATCGTCTCTCTCGCCACAAAAACATGCGTATACCCCCCAACAACCTTCACCTCCTCCTCCCCCTGCTTGAAAACCCCAACTTCATAGGTAACACTCGACGAACCGAGCTTCGCGACCCGAAGTCCGAGGTCTAACACATCGGGAAAAGACACCGAGGCAAAGTAATCGCAGTACGAGTTGACCATGATACCTACCTGGGACGCTGCGTTGGTCTTTGCTGACGAATCCGAGTCCTTGTTGTTGATGGAGAAGGGGTCCATGCCACATTCGGCGATGAGCCAGCTGTTGACGATGGAGTCGAAGAGCATTGCGTAGACAGTATTGTTGAGGTGTGCGTACATATCGTTATCAAACCTATTTCCCCTTTCGTTTAATATTTATTCGGGACATTGGTTTGAATAGTATTTTACTGTACCATCTTGTTCGGTATACTTGGTGAAAGACGTAGTCGCTTCGGGTGCGACGTTTCTTGATTTCGATTTCTTTGGGGGCCATTTTTGGGTCTGCTATGCTGGACTGGTATGGAGGGATGTATGAGGGTGAGATTATTAGGCTGGAGATATCGATATACTTGTTCCTCAGAGTATTGTTCTTATCGGATTCAGATGCAGATGTCCATATTAAATGTCATTTCCGAGGAAGGAATTAGCCGAGGTTGCTTTTGCCGGCGCTTTGCCTGATATGGAGTAGATCGGCGGCTTTTGTCGATCGTCTATATCGTGCTTAACCCACCACAATGGAATTGGACAACTCGGTGGAGGCTTTGGTGGACGGGAAGTCTGCGGATCTGATAAGGGTTATATCGTTGATAAACATGAAGGGGGGTAAATTAGTGGCCGTCTAGTCTGTATACCCGGACTTGGTGTGAGATTTTTATGGGTTAAACTGGGACGTCGCGGTTAATGCTCTCAGAGAGCTAAAGAAGGCCGAGAAGCTATTTATGTGGATGATGTTTATCGTTCATAATGAAAAGGGAAGAGCAGTATGTGCTCAGTGCTGAGGTCGTGTGTAATTCGTTGAATTTTAACCAGCTATGAGAAGTATCAGTGTGGCAATTCAATCTGAACGCCGTACCTGGAGTTGGGCTCGCCTGCGATGATCTATCCTGTACTAAGTAGTAGGTTTATCATAGACGTTCCAAGAGAAGGACAATATTCGAGTGCAATACATTGGACAGGTTGAAATTGAAGGTACTGAAGATCGCACCTGCCGGTTTGAGTATCAACCACAATCCATTACGCTGGTTTCAGGAACTGAGATTATGGACTGCGTGAATCTATACTCTACAAATCGTCAAGTTATGAAGTACAAGAAAAATTACGATTCAAGAACGTATCTCAAATCATCGTCGTCTAAAACACGCACATCGTTACTCTTTCACCTACATCTCACTGCCAGTTCGTCCCGTCTACACTTGATAGCTCCACCCAAGGAGAGGAAGAAGATCATTCCAGCAAGCATTCTCCGAGTACATCAACCAAGAACTGTATAAAACTCTATACCCAACAGTGCGAAACAAACTAAGAACACCATGCACATCCTCTACCTCACTACCATCATTGTCTCCGCTATTGCTACATTGGTAGCATCGATCGACCACAATGTTGACGTCCACAACCAAACCTCGCAGAACCAGAACTCATCCGGGAATATCACTCTCCAGTCGTCAACAGAGACATCAAAAACCAATGACAGTGTTTGTGTCCTGGTTAAAGATTGCCAGAGTGCCGAAACTGCTGCGCCATCTAATGTAACCACGACAGGATCGAAAGATCATTGTCATTCAAATGGTTGGCCGTGTATTCATTTTTCGTCTTGTTGTTCGCAGGTTTGCCAGTGGACATGGCCGGGAGGATATCCGATTCCTATCAGGCAGTGTGCTTAGAATAAAATGATAAGGGCTTGGATCGGTCATTCTAGGTTCATCCTAGGAGTACGAGGCAAGGTGGAAAAGGTGCTAGGGTATGTCTGTACGAGACTGTGTTTGCTGGATATCGATGATTAAAAGAGGGATAAGTTGGCGAATAGTCGAACTCAACGTGATTCATATGCTATTGCCTTTCCTTAGGCAGATTGTAGGGAAACAGGATACAAAAGTCGGATCATACAGCTGGATAGAAAGAACAAGGAGCTAGGTTGAATTGGAAGTATACTCCCGCTACGAGATAAGTGAAGCAAACTAAGTGCAGAGAAGAGAGAATGGAACATTGAACAGGATATTTCTGCTACGAAGCTATTGATAAGGTTAGCACATACAGTGAGTTGGTTACTCAGTTTGTTGGTCTGTGGAATTCCTTTGGCCAATATACGACCATCTATCACAGTCAGATTCCGAGAGGACCCCGAAGAGGTGAGGAGCTTTTCACCCACGTAACGCTATCTGCTCAACAAGATCAGGATATTGACAATTATTGGTCTCTCGGAGCTATTCCATTTAGTCACTTCGACAGCATCTCTATATCTCATTCTTCAATACAATGAGAATACATTGGAATATTTCAACCAGGAATGTAAAGAGCCTCAAATATACCTTGAAGGATAACATATGTCTATAGAAATAGATTTAGCACCTCTTCAAGGTCATGATTAGCTTTGCGAGGGGCCAACAGATGAGATTATGACAAATATATATGCTATTTACTACTTTAATAGTATATTTGCAGGTCTATCCCAATATGATCCCCAAGAAAGAATTTACACTTTTCCAGAGCAAGACATTCAGAGATCTATAAATTGAGGAAATATATGGATGGTACAGCATAATATATATCCAATTGCCTCATAGAATATACTAGTAGCAAGACCAAGTCTAATCAAACTATTATTCTTAATGATCTTATCCTTTACTATAGCCTTCCATGTGTTACCTGCCTCAGTATATATAAAGGCTAAGCTATGTACACTCGTCGTCCTAGTAAATGAATGTTGGTTCCATGAATGAATCTGGGGCAGCAACGCCAAGAAACATAAACTCTTTTTTTTGAATTT